AAAAAAGATCTTGCAAAGTTGGAATTGATTGATTGAACTTTTTAGTCCCACCCAGTCTGCCGTTACCACTGCAGCCACACCCACCCAATGAGCCACACCTACCCAATTGACCACACCCAGCCAATGGGCCACACCCACCTGGCAACCAACGATGCATAAGTGGGTTTTCGGTTGCAGTTTGGGCACTCAGTCTCTAAAAGGTTTGCCATCACTGCTCTAGGATGATCTTTCTTCAACTTGGTCCTTCAGATCTTCTAACAGTGTAGCCATTATTGCCACTGAAATTGACTCCATCTATCTTATTGCTTGTTGTCCTCTTCTTTTTTGTCCTTCTATCTTTCTCAGATTTATAAATTTCTCCAGAGAGCTACTGTAGATCTTCACATACTTTCTTCAAAATATGATACTTTGAGCTTGGTCATATGTTCCTTGAGTAAGAATTCTAGAGTTATTTATTCTATTATATATTTGTTTCCTTGGGTATTCTTAGAAGTCTTATCCAACACCAATGCTCAAAAGCATTAATAATTTTTCTACCCTGCTTCTTCAAGTCCAGTTTTCACTTCTGTATAAGTGTCATGGGGAATATCACTATCTGCATGATTCTGATTTTTGTAGGTACGGTCACTTCCTGACATTTGAATATGTTTTCTAAGGCTTTCACTGCTATCTTATCAAGTGTTGCTCTATCTCATATTTCTTACTTGATGGTTCCTTTACTGTTTACAGTCAACTGTAAAAGGTAAACGCTATTCACCACTTTAATATTCTCATTGTCAATTCTAATGCTGGTTGCTGTATCTGTTTAGATTAGTTGGCCTTCTATATATTTAAATTTAGTCCCATTTTTTCCACTATACTCTTTAACTTTCATTACAGTGTTTGCCGACCATTTTCATTTCACAGCAGTGTTATCAGCATAGCACAGGTTATTGATTTTTCATCCTCAAGTGTTAAAACCACACTCATCTTCCAATCAAGCTTCTCTTAATATAAACTGAGCATAAAGGTTGAATAAATAAGGGAGAGTGTATACCCTTGTCTCATTCCTTTGCCCATCTGAGCCAGTCTGTTTTGCCATGTACCATGCAGACTGTGGTATCCTGGCCTGTTTATAGTCACCTTAGAGTGCTCCATTTTCCAAGATCTGTATAATTCAGGGGTCCCCAATCCCTGGGACACAGTCCACTATCAGGCCGTGACCTATTCAGAATTGGGCCAAGTGAGTGGCTGGCCAGAATGCTTGCATACACACATGCAGCTGTGGTGCGGCGGGCACTCGCACCAGCCTGTCACTCATGAAAGGGCTGCGTATGTGTGCACACCGGCCTGCCACTTGCACAAGGGCTGCATGTGTGCACTGGCCCTCTGCTCATGCAGCCCAGTCCCCTTCTCCCCCTCCCAAGCTGGGCAACCAAGCTGCAAAGCTTGGGGACCACTGGTATGGTTAGATTATCACTACAGCAAAAAACAAACAAAAACCAAAAAATACCTGCTTTAATTTTTTTTTGCATAACTCATGTAAATTCACAATTTACAATTAAATACTAAAGTCAAAGAAAATTTTTAAAAAATAAGAGACAGACAAGATAAACTCCATAGATGAAATATCTTCAGAATATGATATTGTTCAAAGAAATTGTTGTTGTTGTTGTTGTTAATTGCGAAGTCGTGTCCGACCCATCGCGACCCCATGGACAACGTTCCTCCAGGTCTTCCTGTCCTCTACCATCTTCTGGAGTCCATTTAAGTTCACACCTACTGCTTCAGTGACTCCATCCAGCCATCTCATTCTCTGTCAAAGAAATTAGTTTAACTATTGTACCAAGCCTCAATTTTATGGAAGAACTGAAGACTGATGAAACTCCATCACATTCTGAATGATATTGGGGTTTCACATTGATGGTGTTAACCAATTAGGTAATGAAACATCTGCAAACAAAAAGCAAGTTCAGAAAAGATAAAGAATTTTACAGTTCAACCCTGAGCTACAGATATTCTCTTCTATCCATTGAATTGCCATGCCACTGAGTTCACATTTAAGTAGTGTATTAATCAGAATGTCACTTTTTGACAAATGTTATTATTCCCACAATCTACTAAGAAAGTTGCTCTTTCAAAAATTGAGACAAAGTTTCTAATGGCAAGATTTAGTCTTGATAAATCTGCTCTAACTTCTAGTAATTATTACATTGTTTTCAATCATTTGTACAATGATTACTTTTTATCTGCTTTACAATTTCCTCAATTCACACTGGCTTGGATTATCTTAAAAAAAAATAGGGTAACTATCTGCCTTCCTCCCATCCTCTAGATTTTCAGCCCTTCTCCACGGTTTCTCAAGAATGTTGCCTACAATTTCATTCATTCAGGATGTTAGAATTCAATTTGTTTTATCCTGGAGTTCTGAATTCATTTCAAGAAATAGCTATTCCTTGACTATGACTAACAGCAATGAGAGTTGTAATCTGACAAATGCTGAAGGCACCTGCCTGGGGGAGGCTGGTTTTCACTAACCATTTACCCAACATTGAAGGATTGAAGCACAGAAGGATGCCAAATACAGGTCAGCCAGCATGCTGGCTAGGAGAATTATAGGAGCTGAAGTCCACACATCTTAGTGTTGCTGAATTTTACAAACAGTGCTTTAGAACGTTGAAGTCTACATCTGACAGTATCCATTGTGAAAAGGAAAATTAACTTGCTTCACTTGATTTTAATCATCTTACTTCTTTATCCCAGCAGATTAAAACTTTCCAGGGGCCTATTGATTATTAATAAATTGTAAAATCTTACTAGTAATAGGTGTGAAATCATTTCTTCAGAAATCTGTGGAAATTATAGAAATTACCTTTAGCGCTTTCAATACTGCCTGAACAAATGTAATTTTAATAACACTTTTTGAAAGGGATTGTAAAAAGGGTTGGCTTCACATCTCTTGCAGCTATTTGTCTTTAACATTTATATCTGCAGCCCACTAGAGGGAACTGCTGGCTCTCTGAAGAGGCAGAGTTGTGAGCAGTGAAAGCAATAAGTTATGAAGCAGCCAGGTTCTTTGGCTGTAAAATGCACTCTTTGTTCCTTGTGTGAAATCAACAAGGTGAGCAAGTGGTTGCCAGCCACCCATTTCCAATTAATGTCCTTACACTTCCCCCTTTCCCCTATAACCTCACCCATACAGTAATTTCTTTCTGCTCTCCCAAGTGTCTCCTACTTTTCTCTCCTTACTTATTACACCTACTTCTGTGGTCCTCCACCCTTTCCCCTTCACTTTATGCCTTCTACGCTCCACCTCATTATGATGATTCCAGTAGGTGTACCACCCTGTTTTATGCCTTCCTGGCCAATCGGCTTTTCTACTCTCTACTTTGTTCTGATTTTATGCCCACCCATTCTTTGAACTCCCCATTTACCTCACTAATCTACTCTTTCAATTGTATTTTCTGTTTTGTAGCACTGCATTTATTATATACATACTATGCAGAGAGTCAAGTGATAAAGTGAATGCACATGGATGTGGTAGTGGCTCTGTAATGACAGGCATACGTTATTCTGATTCTGCACAGGATAAGACACCCTGAAAGGTCTTTCTTGTACTCCGATATAACTCTTCCTTTCACCCAATCAGAATCATCTATAAGGGTTGTCCAGTGCCTCTTAGCTCATCAGTATTATTCTTTTTGCTGCCTTTTCAGTTAAAGGAGCCGGATGCCACTGTAATTTCTTTAGGATATATGTTTATTTATTAATGTAAAATGTTGCTCCACAGGGCAGGAAATTTCTCTTGACAAAGTGTCCCTCTGTACAGCTTGGATCTCTGCTCTCACTGGTATCACCATTGCAATTTTCCATAATACCTCAGACATTTGTTACAGCAGAGGCATCTTAGAAAATTACTGTGTCAGCTAGACACAGGTTCCCAATTCTGCTGGGGCAGAATTTCTTTTCAAAAAAGCCAGAGGACAGGACAGATATCAGCAACGGATCCTACTGAGTCCCAAATCTCAGCAATAGCCCAGGATATGAAGTATATTATTACAAGTGATAACAAGGATAGACAATATAGTAGAACAAAAAACATAGTGGTCAGGTGACAAGACAGACTGAACTCTCTATGGCAGGAGTAGGCAACTTTGGCTCTTTTATGACTTGTGGACTTCAACTCCCAGAATTTCTGAACCAGCATGACTGGCTCAGGAATTCTGGGAGTTGAAGTCCATGAGTCATAAAAAAGCCAAGGTTGTCTACTCCTGCTCTATGGTAATAAGAACTTCTAATGGGGTCCCATATTCTCTCTCTCTCTCTCTCTCTCTCTGTATTATAAATCCATGTAACACCCCTGGTTTTAAGGCATATGACTAAGATTTTAATTGAAAGACCAATCTTTTACAATAGGATATCTCTTTTCAAAGAATAGTTTCACATAGTTAGCATTAGGCCCGGTTGCTTGCAAACTAAGAATAGAGGTGATTCAAACATGTGGAGAGGCTGTTCTATATCAGCAACTGATCCTTGGTGTGGTACTGAAATATAAGCTTACAGTTGGGCTCTCTATTTGTTTATTAGCAGCACCTCACATCTTACATACAAAAGACATTGTATAATTTCACTAAATCACATAGCCTAGAGCTGATTTCTGAATAATCAGGATTAGGATTGGATTGATAAAATAAAACCAATGGCGCCTTTAACTAGCGAACTGAGCAGATCATTTTAAAATATAAAATATAAAGGTCAAATTTCTTTGTTGATGTAGATTTTATGAGATTTAAACTAGTATTAAAATACTCAGCATTAATAATATTAAATGATGTAAAGGAAGACTGTTTGTGGTGTGCACATATAGCTGTCAGAGGGGTTTATGTCTGAGTGAAAACATTTAAAGCTCCAGTACAAAACAGGAAAAGGAAACCATTTGGTCCAAGTCTTCAAACTTAACCTTATTATTTTTTTGTTGCGAAGCATTTTTGTTCCTCTCTTTCCTGTCTGTTTGTCAACAGATGTATGCCGGAGGGAAGCTGCTATTTGGGAGCTCTGTTTTTAACGGATACAGCTACAGTAAGAAGGACCTGCTAAAACAGATCAACCAAGTTTGCCTTGACTGCAAAAGAGATCACTTCCTGCCACAGAGTTTCAAATTTAGGTAAAGCAAAAAATTAAGGAGAAGAGAAAAGTAAGAATGGGGAAGGGGAAGGCAATATCGTGCTGAGATGTACGTTTACAACATTAATTTGACAAGAATGTGTTGCAATGAAAAGATCGAAATTCCATAAACTCATTGAGTAAGTGACAATGAATAGAAGAGGAGGAGGGGGAGGGGGAGGAGGAGGAGGAGGAGGGGAATAACAGTAGTAGTAATTTGGTAATATATTCTTTCTTGATATGGTTAATGGTTTTAAAAAATGGTCTCTGAACACATTCAGAACTTAATTTATAAAAATATTCCTACTGTTACTTCTTGTATCATCTAATTGACAATTTCGTCAATCTTCTTCCCAGGCAGACTTCTTGAAGTGACCCCTTTATACTTTTTATATCTACTCTTGCTACCTTTCCCTTTGCATAGGGCAGTGTTTCTCAACCTTGACAATTTTAAGGCATGTGGACTTCAACTCCCAGAATTCCACAGCCAGCAATGCTGGCTGTGGAATTCTGGGAGTTGAAGTCCACATGCCTTAAAATTGTCAAGGTTGAGAAACACTGGCATAGGGAATAATAATTGCATTCTTATAGTCACAGGGAACAGAAACAATGATCATATACATTGTTTAAGGTATCCGACTAGAAAGCAGGAGACTGTGAGTTCTAGTCCTGCTTTAGCCATGAAAGTCACTCTCTCTTAGCCCAACCCACTTCATAGGGTTCTGGTTATGGGAAAAATAGGAGGAGGAAGATGTGTGGGATATGTTCACCACCTTGAGATATTTTAAAAATAAGGGCAAGATACAAATAAATAAATGAAAAGTAAAAAAAAAACAAGTTGCACAGTTCAACCAAAGAGAGAAGCAACCTAGAACTAAGGAGAAACTTCCAGTGGAACCACCTGCCTCCAGAAGCGGTGCATGCTCCAACACTGGAAGTTTTTTAAAAAGAAACTGGACAGTTTATATATAGTGATATATATAATAGTGATATAGTGATCTCATATACTAGGAAGTAGGTAGTTGCAGTGCTTTTTTTCTAAAAAAAAAAAAAAAGTGCCAGAACTCACACACATGTCATACAACCTGCCTTGCCTACCCTACAAGGTTCCATCCAAAAAAGGTGCTGAAACTCCGTTCTGGGTGTTCTGTGAGAAAAAAAACCCCTGGGTAGTTGTAAGCAGGACACACGGAACTCAGGAAAAAAGTTGCAGCTTGTGGGCATGAGGCTGTGAGTCATATGAGTTCTGTTCTGTTTTGTTTTAGTAGGATTTTGTTTTTACTAACTCTCTTTTGTGATTGTTATTACTGACTGAGTCAAAAATTCCAGGAATCAGTAAATTCTCTACTGATAACAAGATTCCTTAGTGTGAACTGGAGAAAAGAGGAAACATTTTATGTGTCACCGGAATTTGCTTGTGATTTTGCTAACATTTACTGATGGAGAACATCAAAATAACTAGGAAACCAGGAAGCATTTCAGTACCCTTGTTTGCAGCTATTCATTCTCTCTGTGCAGTAGTCTCAGTGCAAAAAAAAAAAAAAAAGTGGGGGGAGAGAGAATTGATGACTTTTCTTGTTGGTATTTTCCAAGGTCACAAGTTCTCAAGGCTTTTTAAATAAAAACTTTTAGGACTGAGAATCTGGGCTGGTTAACTTTTAAAAACAGATGCTACCAATCTGATCTTGTCTCTAAAAGTAATTTAAGCATTCAAATACCCCATATAGAGGTTAGAATGGTCTGGGCTATTTAACATGTAGTAGAGTTTGTAAATTTCCTTCTAGGCACTGTATCTGATGACCATTATCAAATGTTTTGACATTTTGGTTTGTAATGCTAATTTAAGAAGTGCCAGTTGAAGCATGGCAGGGGCCTCAGTTTAATATAGCACACACTAACATGGCATAGGCACTTCCAACCATGATTTAGCCTCAATTTGCCAGTTATCAGCTCAGGAGGAAATGCTGCAAACTATCCTTGTTGAGTTTCTTCTGAAGCACCAAGTTAATGAATTCAGTTTACAGAGCTGTAGGAAGAGGGAATGATTTTGAACTTAAATTGGAACAGGCTTTGTGTACAGAAGGGATCCTGGAGTCAAGCACTTGGCCTAAATTAGAGAGGACCATAAGTATCCATATCTATGTAGGGCAAAGAATGAATGAAGAGTTGTCAGCCATTTGGAAAATTTTGCAAAAAGGCTAAAACATATAAGGAACAGTTGCTGGAATTGGGTATGTCTAGTTTAATGAAGAGAAGGACGAGGGGGGACATGATAGCTGTGTCCCAATATCTCAGGGGCTGCCACAAAGAAGAGGGAGTCAAGCTATTTTCCAAAGCGCCTGAAGGCAGGACAAGAAGGAACGGGTGGAAACTAATCTAGGAGAGAAGCAACCTAAAACTAAGGAGAAACTTCCTGACAGTTAGAACAATTAACCAGTGGAACAACCTGCCTCCAGAAGCAGTGAATGCTCCAACACTGGAAGTTTTTAAGAAGAGACTGGACAGCCATGTGTCTGAAATGATATAGGATTTCCTGGCTGAGCAGGGGGTTGGACTAGATGATCTCCAAGGTCCCTTCCAACTTTATTATTATTATTATTATTATTATATAGATGATTATTATCACTTGTGCTTCCTTCTTTGTAGAGGTACTAATGAGAAAGAACTGGCAATGGGAGAGCAATAGTGAATGACTTTCAGGATTTAAGTTAATGTTTTTGGAAGTTATTGCTTTTATTGAGCTGAGAATCAGAAATAACTTCAGCTATATGATCCATCAAAGGGAAGTATGTTAAGTTTCAAAACAAAAAACAAAACCCAAGAGGAGAAGAAAAAAAATCAGAGTAATCAATTAGCATCTTGTGAATCCTTCTGCATTAACATCCCCCTACTTATTCTAAGCTGAGAGTAATGGTCTCGGTTTGACCAGTGACTTTGAAGCACTGCTTTACAATGTGAGCTGCCTGAGATTCAGGGCAGGGCTCAGGCCTGATAGATAGGGAGCATTTGACATTGCAAAGGAATGCCAGAAAGCAGAAGAAAACAAAGTTCGTCCATTCAAAGGTCAGCAAGACCAGTCTTTCACATCTCCTTTCAGGAAAAGTTGAAGGTAGTTGAATCTGTTATAGAGAAGGCAGCTTTAAGAAATAAGTACCTTCCACATCTTGTCGTTTGCATAGACTATATTAAATGTTTCTGGTGCATAATTAATATCCTTGTTAAAACAAGGCAGATCACAGAAGTTAGAAGGAGATTCGCCCACAAGCATTTCATTGGAAATAAAATAGGAAAAACCAAAAGCTGTGACTAAATGATAAAAATGTTCAGATGTCATCCTGTAAGTTATTCCATTTTATTCCTCTCTTCCCAGGTTTTCAATTTCCCTCAAATTGACGGAAGTGGTTTTTTTCACTTCTTACTTAACTGTGGGGTGTTTTGGTATATTTTTTTCTTATTAAGGGTTTCCATCCCAATACAATGTTCTGTATAAACCTCCTTATGACTACATCAAGATCCATACATACTACTAGAATATTGAATATGGATGTTTATATAGTCCTTCCTTTTAACCTTTAAAGACACATTTCAGATCCATAGCTCTAGGATGGGGTAGGCAACCTTGACTTCAGCTCCCAGAATTCCTAAGCCAGGGAGTTGAAGTCCATGAGTCATAAAAGAGCCAAGGTTGCCTACCCCTCCTCTAGGATAATATAGGTTTCCCAATTGCAATCTCACAATAATCATTGTAGCTAAATGAGCTATCAGAAACTGCAGTGAACCTAGTTGTTTCTAATTTGCAGCTAATATAAAACTTTAAAAGAGAATTCAGTTACATATTCCTAATTTATATTTACATAATCATTATATTTACTTGATTGATTGACCATATTTTGGAATTTCTGCATGAATAAGAAACGGAGTAATTTCACTGAATCCTTTTTTTAAAAAATGTCTTGTTCAATATTTAAATGGTAGCTCAAGTTGCAGATATAGATGCACTCATACTAATTTTTTTAATTGTTCACGAAAGCGAATCTTTGAAAGTCTTCACTGTTGGGCATATTATAGTCTACCTATAATGCTATTTTTCATGTTTTCAGGATTATAGTTCAATTCTTAGACAGTATTGAATAGCAAATTGGATATTATATTTCTCTTCAATAGATAAAAATAGTGATATGAGGTGCTGTCCTTCACTTGACCATACTGTAATCTATGAGAGAGAGGTGGAGGTGGTGGGGAGAGAGAGAGAGAAACTAGGGGATTTCAGGCTAGTATTAATATGACAATGCATTTTTTAGGGAACCGATTGTATGTTTAGCAGTATTCAAAACTGCTAGCAGTATTTGGAATGTAGAACATTTGTATGATCTAAGACATTTTGCTTTGATTTTATGTAGGTGGATGCTAGCAAGTCCACTAGAAATCTTTTAAAAATTAATTGTGGACTTCAAGAAAATGACAGCCTCAAATTGTCATAGAGTGAATATACCTTTTTGGTGTGCTGGAATTTAGCTTTTTTCTGTCTATGTAGAAAGAGATGTGTGTTTATAATATTAATTATTCTGGACAGCTGAATTAAAGAAACAAAATCACCTTGGTAATAGAAATTTAAATCCCCCAAAACCTAAGAATCTGGGCACATGTGGTATTTTTTTTGTTTGTGATGGATTATTTGCTGTGAATTTATTGTAAGTAATAATCCCAACTTTCTCTTCGTCTGCATAATCATTCAGAATAAATAATTGGAGAGCTGACATTCCTCATCCCTAAATTACATTCATGCTTCTGCAGTTGGTCAACATTTCTATCCATTGCTATGAATAACTGAGTGTGATGACACATGCTAGAATTTTGTTAATAAAAGCAAATAATGGAAGAAATGACAATATTGCTTGTAAATCTAGCCAGACCCAAGATATTTGGGTCTTTGTTGTGGGTAGTTTGGAGGTTGTTAAAATAAACTTTGACACAAATTCCTGCATAAGCCTAGTGTTTCTT